GCAAGCCTTCCAAAATGATGTCCCAGATTACGATTTCATAAGAAAAAATAAAATAATTGCTTGCCAAGCCATATAAAAAGGACGAATTCTGGGAAAACTTAGAAACTAAACATTGATAGGCCTATAGAGTCTAGCTCCTCTCAATAGCGTAAAACTTTTCCATTTTTCCTGGCCATCCTGAATCTGATTTTCCATCATCGTGGTGACATGGTAGCATCAGTAGTCTGGTCTTCATTACCCAAACCAGGACTGCTAAGTTTAAAAAAAAAAAAAGTTGCCCTAAGGAAACAAAATGAACTCTTCTAGCTTGCAAATACTCAGTGGAGTCCCTGCTCAGAACCTAGGCAATTCCAACCTTAGCCTGTTTGTCTTTTCGTTGTTTCATGTTTGTCTCATCACAGCAGTCAAATCATGTCCCAACTCCTTTAAGCTAGATTTCAAAACTAATGAGTTAGAAACAAAATGTTCCTTCCTACATAGAATGCTAGCAGCTTTGTCTTCATCTCCAGAAGGCTTAAAAATGAACAGCACTTTCAAAGTCAGAGAACAAACCTTCCTACTCATCCCTGTATTCAGCCCACCCCCACCCAACCTACAAGGTTGAGTCCAGGCCCTGCCATCCATAAGTCTGCTATTGGTCCAGCCCACAGTAATGATCATCCTGAACTCTCTTGGCTGAGCCCATGTGGCTCAGAATTTACTATTCTCTCATTGTATAAGGTAAAGGAGGAACAAAGTGGGAGGTAGTGGGAGAAGCTGGAGAGAAGAGCCAGTAAGTCATGCCAAGGACTGTATTTGGCACATTTCACGGCACTCTCGTTTAACCTTGTCACAGCCCTCAGGTAAGAATTATCCTTCACCTTTTTCCAGATGATAAGACTGAGGCTCATGAGAGGCTAAGAAACTTGCCCACAGCTCAGAGCCAGGAAAACAAAAAGTCAGGATTTGAACCCAAGTTTCTGACTACACAGTCCCTGCTCTTTCCTCTACATTATGGAATCAGTTTTAGTTCCTCTTCCACTTCACACCCAAGCACAGGTCATACAAGGAATGAGCCCAGGAAGATGAAGGATATGAAAACCATGGCATGTTTCAAGAATAAACGTATCAGGGATCTATTAGGTGTAAAGCAGAGCACTCAAAGCTTTGGAGAAGGGAAAGGAGAGTGTACATTACGGCAAGAGAAAGAGCTAATCACCCAGCATGGGGTGGGCGTGTGGTAGAGATGCCCCTGCTAGAGCAAATGCCACATGGAGGTGTGATATCCAGAACAAAGAAGATAATTAAGCCTCTGCAGACTCTCTATTGATCAAACCACATCTGTAGTGTTGGCTGTAGTTCTAGTCACTGGGGAATGTGTGCTGTGGAATCCACAAGAGGAGCATGAGGATATTCAGTCAGGAAAAGGGAACCCTTTAAGGAATCACGGTTAAATCTTCGAATACTTAAAGGACTATCTTTTATGAACAAGATACTTGAAAAGTTGCTGTGCAACTCTAGAAAACAAAGCCAAAACCAAAGAAGCAATGCTACAGGAGAGCTCATTTCTGCTTTTGCAGTGTGGAAGAACTTTGACAGTTCAAACCATCCAAAAATGGAAGAAACCACTTCTGGACATTGGCAATTCCCATTGTTGATAGGTTCACACAGCCTGGAAGGCCATTTATCAAGTATATGGTAGAGGAGATTTGTGGATGAGGCATTAAGGGCAGGCTAAAGACTTCCAAGATCTCATTCAACTCTGATTCTATGAGTCTAACTGCATGTAATAGAGTTTTCTCTCATTGCAAGGAAATCTGTATTGGTTTCCTATTTGCCGTAACAAATTACCACAGACTTAGTGGCTTAAAACAATACAAATTTATTATCTTACCATTCTGTAGATTAGAAGTCTGACACGGGTCTTATGGGGTGAAAATCAAGGTTTCAGCAGGACTGCCTTCCTTTCTGTAGACTCTAGGGAGAATCCATTTCCTTGCCTTTGTCAGCTTCTGGGCTCATGGCCTCCTTCCTCCAACTTCAGAGCTGCAAAGGCAGGCCAAGTGTCTCATATCACATCACTCCAACCTCCTAGTCTGCCTCTCCTCCATTCTTAAGGACCTTTGTGATCACATTGCTCCCAGCCAGATGATCCAGGATAGTGTCTCTATGTAAAGGTCTTGATTAGCAATTAGAATTCCATTTGTAACCTTAATTCCCCTTTTCTATGTAACATAACATATTCAGAGATCCCAGGGATTAGGACATGAATGACTTGGAGTCGGGGTAGGAAGAGGGCATTATTCTGACTATCCCAGTGACGTTCTGACAAATACCACCAGTACATCCCACAAGTTCAAGTTGGTGTGTGACTTTGCCTTCTCTAACAATCACAGGGGAGAGGACAAGGAATTGGCAAGAGGATATCAGGCCTCCAAGGGTTACTTGAGGCTCGGTCTCTAACCCAAACCAACCAAATAAAATGGCAGAAAAGATTTTCCTGTTGGGTAGATTTAACCTCTTGATATGCACTAGTAAATGACCCAAGTGAACAGTAACCCCCAAACCTACCTTGGGACCTAAGGCTTACAAAGAAAATCACCTAAATGTTTTTAATTAAAATGCAGCTCTCCTCTCTTTCCTTTTGTCGCCACCATATACTAGAAACTAGATGCTTCTTCCTTGTACACTTCCTCCCCCATAGCAGACACTATACTCCTTCACCCTTTGCCACACCTGTACCAGGCTTCAGAAGTCTTCTCCAGCCTGTACCCCAGGGAGGCACTAGCAAGGATCAGAGTTGGCAAATGACAGAAAAACCTATCTGCCATCTCTTCAGGAAAGGCTCTCTGTTCCACGCGTTGGGGTTTAGCATTGTTGTTGTTATTGCTTTAGAAATGACTATGTACAAGGCAATGGACTAGAAATCTTGCATTTAGAAACGAAATGTACAATTCATAATCTTAGCTGGCTATGGAATACAATATATAGCATTTATTCCTATTTTGCTTCTTATGAATAGAATTTCTGATCTCACGTCACACTTGCCTGTATTTACCTGGAGTTTTATCATTATACTACCTTAGAATCTCCATCACTTGAATCACAATAGAATTCCTGAATTGTTATTTCTTTTTCATAGGCATATTTATTGTGGAGTGTTTTTCTAAGAGTCCTTTTGGTCACTAGAAATGATCTATCAATCAGGACTCTTTCCATAGCAGTTGATAGGAAACTCTTTTGCAACTAGTTGAAGCAAAAAAAGGGGGATTTATTGGCTAACATCCTGAAAAATCCAGGGGTAAATCTGGCTTTGGCCCTTTCCAGTATCCTCAAATGATGCTGTTGGACTGTCTCACCCTCATTACCACCTCCCCTCTCTCTCCTGGTTGACTTTATTCTCGTGTATGCTCTAGCCTTGCAGGGACAAGATGGCTCCCAGCAGCTCTAGGCTTACCTCTCATCCTCCCAGAAACCCCAGTAGAAAAGAAAATGCTTCTTCTCTATATCTCCTTCCAAAAGTCCTGGACTGAATTTAATTTTAGTGGCTTATCATTGACCTAGCTCAAGTCGTGTGCTCACCTGTGAACCAATGATTATAACAAAAGAAATTCAAACCTCTGATTAGCCAGCCCTCAGCACCTGCCAACTCCTAGAGTAGGGATTGCATTCAGTGCCATGTGAACCACATGAAATAAAAGGAAGGAAGAAATGGATTCCCCAAGGAAAATTGGGATTCTGTTACCAGGAGGGAAAACAGATCCTGGGTAGGGAGGAAATATGAGGCAATCACTATACTTGGGTGACACTCAAGTCAGATTATTAGCTGTTTTCTGATTCAGTATTAGCTGAAAGCAGGACAGGGGAAATAATGTCATCATTTGAACAGAGGAGAGTGTTCCAAGTTTCAACTACAGTCCAAGTGGGACTTAGAGGGGACACCACAGCATAGGGGCCATGGGCAATTTGCATGACATTTTGGGATGAAAGTCCAGAAGATACTCAACAGCCACTGACAGGGAAGCACTCACCAAATTCACAAGCCTCATTCATTTTGCCTAACCCTGAAATAACTTCTGAATTAAGAAAATAGAAAATAAAATAAGAAGACAAAAGAAGCTTGGGTGAGGCAACCTGGCTTTGAGCCCCACTTCTTACCAGTGGTATGGTCTGGAGCATGTCACTTAACCTCTGAAAGCCTCAGCTCTACCTTCTGTAAAATGGGATTGATAATAATTCCTACCTCACAGAGAATTAAATGTGATCATATGTGTAAGGATCATTTCTTAAGACGCTACAACAAACCCTCCCATCCTCATGGCTGTTGCAATGAGACTGCTGCTCCTTTCTTCTATTTACCATCCCTTCGAACCTGGGCTGGCCCTGGGAATTGCTTTGTCCAGTAGAATGAGACAGAGTGATGTGTGGCTTCCAAGCTTAACCTACAAGAGACCTTGTAGCATCCGTATTTGCACTTCCGGAAAATCTCTTGGAAGCCAGCCACCATGCCATAAAGAAGCTCAGGCTAGACTACAGAATAAGGAGGAGTCACGTAAGAGAAAGACTCTGGAGAGTGGGAGGCCATGTTGAATGTTCCAAGCCCAGGTGAGCTCCCAGATGAACGCAGCTGTACCAACATCCTCAGCTGTACCACCTGGAGCAGAAGTACAGCCCAGCTGAGCCCAATCAACCCACAGACTCATGAGAAAAACACAGCATTGTTGTTTTAATTTACTAAGTTTTGCAGTAGCTTGTAACACAGAATTGGTAACTGAGACAACATGTAGACAGGGTGTTTTTGTGGTTCTTGCTGTCTTTTCCTCAAGAGGAATGTAATTTGCACTTCAGGCAGAGCAATGCCTCATTTGTGGGGCTGCCTCGTGTTTTGCAGGACATTCCGCATCACTGGTCCTTACCTGCTAAATCTCAGTTGTGCTCTCCAGTCACTGAGAGAATTAAAGACATCATCCCCCAGACCCAAACACCCCCTGCTACGAGTCAAATCCAAGAGGAGCACTTACTTCTGGGAGAGTGAGGACTTCAGAGGTTAGCCTCACTAAACACAAGGCAGGAACTGTATTCTTCCTGTGTGTCCTGATCCTCATTATGAGTTGAAATGTCTTCCCTGGCATTTCATGCTGCCTTCAAAGAAACGGGCTGGGGCCTCCCTGGTGGCGCAGTGGTTGAGAGTCTGCCTGCCGATGCAGGGGACACGGGTTCGTGCCCCGGTCCGGGAAGATCCCACATGCCGCAGAGCGGCTGCGCCCGTGAGCCATGGCCGCTGAGCCTGCGCGTCCAGAGCCTGTTGCTCCGCAACGGGAGAGTCCACAACAGTGAGAGGCCCGCATACCGCAAAAAAAAAAAAAAAAGAAAGAAAAGAAAAGAAACGGGCTGCATTAGGCCATACCAAAAATGAGCTTACAATGCCTATAAAATTATATGATACTATTTGATGTAAATAATGCAACCAGGTGTGATAAATCTGCATACTTTGTCTTTGAAGGGGCTCCAAAGAAAACTGTCATCTACAACCAAGCACAGTTAATACAGGAATCATCAGCATTCTTTCTCTAATTTGTCCTATTTATGTAGCACTTTGGGGATCTGGAGAAAATAAGTAAATGAACATTATTCTGGCTGCATTATCATCCTTGTCTTTTTCTCTCGATGAATCTCTGTAATGGAAACTCCTAATTTGACAGATTGACAACACAGGTGGGGTATTGTAGAGATGAAACTTCTCTAAGATAAACATCACTTTCCAGGAGACAGAAGAGTTCAGAAGTGACCTCCTTGAAAGAGAGTTGCCATTAGCCATGAATATCTGTTCTTTGTAAACACCAGGGTAGATCAAACATTTATCTGTTAATTTCACCGCAGTTGGATTCTAGAGCTTATATTTTCTTTCCCAGAGAGCTTCAACTTTCCCAGGGCAGCTTCAAAGACAAGGTTCCATTCAGTCTGAAGTGTCAATACTCCTGTCTTAATAAGATTTAAAATATTCCTTCTACCCCATCCTTTTACCCACACGGATTCCTCCTTTCATATTTCCACTAGTTTATAATCTCATATTCCTGCTGAGGTATCCATTGAAATGGGAATGGTAATTTATTTAAGCATATCTCTGTCAATTTAGCTCTGAACAAAAGGTGCTAGTGTGCTAGACTGGCACACACCATCCAAAGAGGACACTGGATGCCAAGTCAGAATTTGGAATGAAGCTTCCTAAAATAACAAAACTATACTTTAAGTCCTTGTAGTTTACTTACACAAGATTATACAATTTCCCCAGGGATCTTAGGGAAATGGAAGAAAGAAGTAATTAAATTATTAGAAAAAACATAAGGTATTATATAAGACTATGATGTCCTCTGTTTCTTGTATAGCTATCTGTACGTGGTACTACATGTACAAGCTGTACAAGTGGAAGAGGCAAAATGTAGGAGTTCTCAGCTTTGAAAGCTAACTGCTAAATTAAGGAAAAAGAGAAAGAGGGAGAGACGGAGAAGAAAACCTAAATACCTGATCTGCTAAAATTTAAACTGAAAATATATTCCTTAGAAAAAATGGATATGCCAGAATTCAAGCAGGTAACAATATGCTACTTTTTATCCTGGTCTATTTTAGAAAAATCTGCTCCTCGGTAAATGAATAAAATGTTTGTGTTTCAAGTATATTTTTAATAGATAACATTTCAAGTCCATACAACATTTGTTTTAATAGAATTTGATATTTTAAAAATAAGAAAAGAAGAACCTTTTTCACTTTACAAAAAGATTCACAACCAGGTTTCATTATGTACTAAGACCCTTTGGGAATTCTAACATGACTACACTTATCAAAAGTTAATGCAGGGCTTCCCTGGTGGCACAGTGGTTGAGAGTCCGCCTGCCGATGCAGGGGACACGGGTTCGTGCCCCGGTCCGGGAAGATCCCACATGCCGTGGAGCGGCTGGGCCTGTGAGCCATGGTTGCTGAGCCTGCGCGTCCGGAGCCCGTGCTCCGCAACGGGAGAGGCCACAACAGTGAGAGGCCCGCGTACAGCAAAAACAAAACAAAACAAAACCCACAACTCTTTTTCCTAGTGCCAACCAAAGATATACCAAAGGACAGACATTTACTTAATTAGGTAATGTGGTGCCATCAGCCAATCCAGTGAACTGGACATTTCGAACTTCAAACTAAAGGACCTGAAACATCTTACAGCCAATAATATTTACCTGTTGGAACTTCAGATAAAATATAGGCACTGATCTTTTTTTTTAAAAAAAATTGAACTCTTCTGTCCACTGTGGAATATAAGAGCATCAGGGCAGTTATGCAGCCTAGATGGAATAAATATATATCTACTAGCCAACCGATAGGAGGGAAAGAGGTCAACTTATATTAATTAATCACAGACCTTAGATCTGCCCATGTTTCCACAGCTACAAACTGTGGAGAGAGACAGAAGTCCAAGTCTATCCTAGTCTGAAACCGAGCTCTCTCAACACAGCCACACTTCCTCCCCATTTTCTTCCAGCAGTTTTCATCTGAATCATGAACATAAGTAAATGTGCTTTACGGCTAAATCCTGGTGGGATTGTTCTTGTCATTTTGTTGTGTTCTCTTTCTGTTTTATCGGAGTATAATTGCTTTACAATATTGTGTTAGTTCCTGCTATACAATGGGGTGAATCAGCTATATGTATACCTATATCCCCTCCCTCTTGGACCTCTCTCCCACCCCCCCGATCCAATCCATCTAGGTCATCACAGGGCACCGAGCTAAGCTTCCTGTGCTTTAGAGCATGTTCCCGCTAGCTATCTATTTTACACATAGTAGTGTACATATGTCAATCCTAATCTCCCAATTCATCCCACCCTCCTCTTCCCCCGCCGTGTCCACATGTCCGTCCTCTACGTCTACATCTCTATTCCTGCCCTGCAAATAGGTTCATCTGTACCATTTTTCTAGATTCCACATATATGCATTAACGTATATTTGTTCTTCTCTTTCTGGCTTACTTCACTGTCTATGACACACTCTAGGTCCATCCACATCTCTACAAATGACCCAATTTCATTCCTTTTTATGGCTGAGTAATATTGCATTGAATATATGTACCACATCTTCTTTGTCCATTCATCTGTCAATGGACACTTAGGTTGTTTCCATGTCCTGGCTATTGTAAATAGTGCTGCAGTGAACATTGGGGTTTGTTGTTTTGTTTTGAGGGAGGTGCTAATGTAATTAGCTTCCACCAAGCTCATTTCTGTTTCTCTTGATCATGCAATATGCTATATTTTTTATTAAAATACAAAGAAAGGGGGAAAGGAAAGACCATCAGAGAAGCTGAAAGAAATTTAAGCAAACAGGAAGAAAGAAGTGAAGGATAAAGTGAAGCTTGGTGTAGAAGAGATAAGCCATGAATGAGGGGAAAAGAAGAGGAGATAAAATTGAAAGATCTAGAAGATGAAAGTACAAGAAGATTTAGGGACTTCCTCCCAGTGGTGGCAGACTGGGTGATTTGGGCCAACTCTCTTGCTGGAGGAAACTAAAATATCTTGGCAAAATATAAAAATCATGATCTTTAAAGTATCAAAAAGCTAAAAAGAGAGTGTGGAATTACCAAGCCAAAATCTACAAGAAAACAGAAATCCAAAGGTATGAGTCTGGCATTTTGCTGAAAGCATGTTGTCCAATCTAAGAGAGGCAGTAGTTTTGGCGTCTTCACAGGGACAAAATGTGCAGTAAGTACTTCTGATAGGGAAACTTATAAAGCTTCACTGAAAGACAGTAGGGGAGACCTAAATAAATGGAGAGGTATATCATGTTCACGGATTGAAAGACACAATATTGTATCAATGCCCCAAGACACAAATAAACCTATGTAACAGAATAGAGACTAGACATGGGCTCATTCATAAATGACATTTGGTATATTATAGATGTGGCACTCACGGGAGTGGGAAAATGAAGGCTGACACAATTTCATATCCGTATGAGGAAAATGAAGCTTGACTTCCAACCTCATACTCCGTCATTACCTACACACTACACACACACATTAGAAAATTTCTTGCATTTGTACATTTGGACGCATGACATAAGAATGTTCATAGAAATACTGTGTGTAAGAGTACAATTTTAAAAAATCAAAACAACACAAGTCCATAAAGAGTAGAATGAAGAAATAAAATGTGGAATGTTTAGCCAGTGAAATACTATAGTGCCATGAAAATGAATGTTACAACATGGATTAATCTCAAACATAATGTTAAAAAATTTGGTTACGGAAAAACAAAAATATGATTCTGCTTATACAAGATAAAAAACGTGCAAAACTAAAAATATACTGTTCAAAGATGTAAACATATCATAAAACTACAGAAAAGTAAGGAACTGATAAATGCAAAATTCAGAAGAGTGGATACCTCTGGAGAAGAAGGACGGGATTCGGAAAGGCACTGACAATAATAGCATGTTGTTCTTTTTCTTAAATCAGGTGGTAGGTGCTAGATAGTCCTTGTATTCTGATTACTCTTTCGTATGCATTCACAAGTTAATAGAAATATAACAAATATACACATTGGCCCAATACCAAAGGGCCAAGTTTGAACTCAATATTCAGATGAGGCCAAAACCAAAACTGGGAGCACCATCACAGAATGAACTTCTTGAGACAAGAATACATCTGAAAATTTTTCCACAAAATAAATTCAATCATCACTTCAATCTTATCGCTTAAAACATTACTTCTCAAATGTTTGACGTTGGCGTCATACTGCAGAAACAATCATTTCCTAGCTCTGTTGACTTCCAGATTGCTCGTGTGTGTGGTCAACGTATCACACGCCGACAATATCAAATAGGTTAGCAAAAGGGGAAGATATTTTTTGCCGACTCGAGTCAGAATAGGCCACTGCCGGTAGTAATGTTGCCCTCCCACTCTAGGAGCAACTGGATTCAAGTCATCTTGTCTCCTCTGCACCTTCTGGACTTAAAGCTTTGGGCAATAGTAATTATGCAATCTCCTTGAAGCCACCTCACAAACAGAATCTCTGTGCATTGCTTGAAGAAGATGCTTTCTGAACATTTTCAGAAGCAAAGGAATTTTTTTGCTCTCACTTATAGTTTTTTATTTTTAATATTATGCATGAACGTACTACTTTAATTTGCCCTTAAACCTTGGATCTAAAAATGTGGCAAGAGAGCACCATAACTGACTTTCAAGATAACAAAATAGTCTCTGAATTTCTATTCACAACCTTAGCTTTCACTGGATGCACAGCAATTTCAGCATCTTCCCTGGAGAAGCCTACGAAATGAATCCATATAGCAGGTATCATGCAGAAATACCTGCACTCTCAAGCTCATCCGTTAGGTTACTTCTTCAGCAGCATGCAGCTCATTGGCAAATGAACTGTTTTATCTTCAAGAAACCCATTGATTCTAAGTCCTGCTTGTTGGTATTGTTATGTGTTCAAGTAGACTTTTAAACGTGTAGTATTTCTTCCATTCTATTTGAATATTTTGTATGAGTATTTGGCAAGGTAATTCCAAACCCTCTTGGATGTCATGGTGTCTGTCTGCTGAGGAAGGATAGTAAGTGGCCCACTACCTTACCGCCAGTAATCTTATGATGGTACCTCGTACTGTAATTCCTTTCTGAACACACAAGTTAAGGATGTGAACATAGCATCTTATCTTCTAAGTCTAAAATCATTCATACCCTTCATGGTGTTTTTTGCAATGTCAGTGACAATACATGATGTTGCACTGAATTTCCTTTCTAAGAATATTTCTTCTATCAGATTTGCTATGTTGTCGACTATTTGAGATCCAGGCATCTCTCAACAGGCTAGTAAGCTAGAAGTGGTCAGTTCAGAAATTCCAGAAATGACACTGGAGTGGGCATTTGGTGATTTATCTTCTAAAGCCGAACACCAAAGCCACAGCTTAAATGGCATATTTTGAGCCGGATCATGAGACCAAACCTAAACTTTAGAACCTTAATAATTTTTAATACAATAATTACAAAAATAAAGAGATAAAGTTTAAAACCAAAGGGATTCATGTATCCCTTCAACAATTTTTTATTGAGGAATTGCTGCATGCCAGACATTGTGTCAGGTGCTGAGACTAAGGTAATGAACCAAACAGATCAAAGTCCCTCACCTCATGGAGCTTACGTTTTAGTTTAGAGTGGGTAACGGACAAAAATTAACAACAATATACAAACAAGTGTCACGTGTTGATAAATGTCATGTGGAAAATTAAGCAAAGAAAAAGAATCACAAGTAGGTGGAGGAGGGGAGGAAGAGAGTGCTATTTCTTTTTTTTTCTTTTTTTTTTTTTTTTTTCGGGATGCGGGCCTCTCACTGTTGTGGCCTCTCCCGTTGCGGAGCACAGGCTCCGGATGCGCAGGCTCAGCGGCCATGGCTCACGGGCCCAGCCGCTCCGCGGCATGTGGGATCTTCCCGGACTGGGACACGAACCCGCAACCCCTGCATCGGCAGGCAGACTCTCAACCACTGCTCCACCAGGGAAGCCCTGCATAAGTGTTTTTAAATAACTCAAGGGAAATCAAATGATTTTATATTGACGAAGAGTACAACTCAAATTAGGGATATTATTTCCATGAACTTTCTTTACATAAAGCAAAAACATTTAGTAAGGCAAGAATAAAGTCACATAAATTTAATAATAGTAGAAGGATTTCACTTACCATTCTGATTTTCAACAGACCAACTGGGCAAAATAATGATAAATATGATTTAAATTCTGTCATTAGTAAGACTGATTTAAGTGCTGGTAACTAACCCTCAATTCTATAGACAAAACAACTTACTTTTCAACACCCATGAAAAAA